TTTAACAAAACGTAGCTTTGGGATTACAACAAGCTCCGCGATTTTCGTGCTAGATAAAAATCTTGGGGCATTAATACGGCCGTTAAGTTTTGAAGACCGACACATATTTTTTTCTTTAGGGGTTTAACCCAGTTTTTATACTTTATAGTTTCCGTATTTTATATTTGTTATTCAATTTTGTCTTTGGAGCAAAACAAAATTGAATGCTTAGTTCTTTGGGCAAGATGTGCTTAACATCTTTCTTCACACTCATCCAAATCAGTTTGTTTAGAGATCTGATCAAGCCAATTTTTATACCAAAATTTCCATAAATATAGCTTTCAGTTTTCATTCCATCGTGGAATTCCTGGATTATTTTACTCTCCATCACTACTTGCTTACCTATTCTTGAAATTGGCAATGGAAAAATGAAGATTTTCAAAAAATCTTTGTATAAAAAAAGAAAATTCTAGATGATTTATTTGTTAGACCCCCGATAAATATTGGAAAACGGCTCCCCGCCAAATAAATGTAGGTAGTAGGTCTATCTTATATACCTACTAACATTATCATTCACGTACCTACTAGCAAAATGTTCAAAACTCGTCAAGGAATAATTTAAAATTCAAACGATGATACTACTTAATTATGTGGCAATTTATAGGTGCAAACAATGATTAATTATCATTCTCAACAGTGCGTTGTATAGCAATTAACAATTATTTCACTGAGTGGAATTATTGTTTTCGCTCATGGAAATTTCACTTATTAATCTTTAATTATGAATTCGCTACTAATTTATCATTTTGGACTAATTCAAAAATTGAATATATCAACAAAATTTTCTTTCACTTTCCTTGAATTCCTTTCAATCTTTTGAAAGGCTCCTATTATACTTCCATTAAATTTTCGTTTCCTTTCAATTCATTAATCTTTGTTTATTTTGTTCCAGGTAAACCACAAAGAGTAGCGCGGAACTGAAATAAATCGTTTTGCAATCATCATAGCGGAATGGTAAGTTTACATTTTCAATGTCAGAATAATAAAGCTGCGAAACCGCAAAAAAGTGGTAAATTAAATGGAAAGATTACTAAACCGAAGATTGAGCTTGAAATGGACCCTGGTAATCATAAAAAAGGTAATAAATGGATGCTATGTAGCTGTATCGGCAATCCTTCCAATATTGTAGATAAATTACATATTACATCTTTGCTGTATCGAAAACTTTTTCTAGATAAATCGACCCCTCCTTCACGTAACATTTTCATCGCGTAGTTCGTTATCTGTCGGAAACGGTGTGGTGAAAATTAATTTCCAGTAAACATTGGATCGATACTATTTGGAAGGGCCGCCTTTGGGTTAGTTATTTTTTCGACTATCCAAGCGTGAGATCTTACATTTTGGGCCTTGGAGAATGCATAGAAAGAGGCGTAGAAGTGAGGGAATTTCAAGGCAAGGGAAAATTAAAACGAGTAAACAATATATAACACACATATTAATCAAACTTGACAATCATATTATTTCAATAAATTCGTTCAAGTTCCTCTGAAACCTAGAAATAGAAGAATAGAAGTTCAGTTCATGTTAGACAAGCAATTTGTCATTACAAGGAACGTTGTGAATCTACTAGGTAATTTTTCTAGTAATTGTAAAATTAGATCTTGTAGCCTTGGATGCAATGGAAAAGTAATTTGCTCGAAATTGTATGCAGCAGGTTTGAACATCATTGCTTCTTCTATTCCTCTCTATTGAGTTGGAACTTCGCCATGGCATAAAGCACAAGGAAACGGGCAAACCGTGGAGTTGTTCTGAACACTCCATAACTTCTTCGAAGCTATTTGATCCAAATCCATCATCAAAAGTTATCTGGTATTTTGATGAAAATTCATGAACATTATCACAAGGCCTAGCGATAGCAGCTACAGAGGTATGAAGGAAAAAGTTCCAGAAAAAATTTGAAGTTGGAGTAACTACTGCATCACATCATCAAAGTGACTATCAGAAGCCTAACAATGAAGACTGAAATTATAAAGCATTTAAATAAGAATTTAAAGTTGAAGTTACTGAGCAAGTCGACACAATTAATAAAAGTTTAGGTTTTCTGATAGATAAATTATTTTATTTTGAACCATAAATGTAATTTTCACATTTCTTACTAGTTTGAAGGTTCGAAATTGTCATTTTACTTTTGTTTACTTTAAAACAGGCCAAAAGTGACAGTACTCCTGTCACTTTCGGCCTGGAGAACTCACTCTCGGCCTGCTAAATTGTTGTTTCGCACCCAAACACAAATCCAGGCGCAATGTTTGTATTGAGAAGTAGATGTTACATGGGTTTTTATTGTTGAAATTCCATAAGATGTCAATGTCGGTGTCAGAGTTTCAGTCAAAATTCCATTTTTGTCATACTTTTACTCTATTTTTTTTAATAATTAATAGTTCAAAATAGTATAGTAGGTATACATATTCCGGTGGAAAGTTTTCACATATATTGTCTCGATAATTGGTGGACCTCGGCGCTTCGCACCTCGGTCAACCATAGTATCTCTCGACAATAATGAAACACTTTCCACCTCCGCATGTAATATGGAGTTCATTGATTGCTGATCCATTGGTCCAAAATACTCGATATTTCCTTGGCCGCCTTCTCCAATTACTACTTGGTGACTAGTTTTGAGATATGCCCATATTTCAAGCTCTTGTTGTATTTCTTTCCATTGCCCAATTTCATCAGCAGTATCAAGCATTCCACCGTCAGGCGATGTCTAAAATGTCGTCCTGAATTCACCACATTTAATTATGTTTACACTGTGAAGTTAGTGGTAGGAACTTCCTCGATGGCCTGTAGAATTTCTTCTCCTTGAAGTAGTTGTCCAAAAGCAACGTAATTGTAAATCATCCAGGGAGTGCTTTCTAATGTTATAAAAAACTGAGTACTGTTACCTTTGTGAGGGCCATTATTACACATAGATAGAACTCCTCTTCGGTTATGTGGTACCACATAATTTTCACAAGGAATTCTAATGGGTTTTAGATCATGTCCTCCACATTGTATCCAGGAGTTTTTTACTATCCTGTGAACTTGAGTTCCGAGATATCCATGGTATTCATCTTTGCAACGATTCAGGAAGTTCTCGCATGCCAGTGGAACTACATCGTTGTATAATTCAAATAAAAGAGATCCTTTTACTTGACTGTTTATAGCAATGGTAAGATATGCGAGCTGTCTATAGTTTTCCGTTTTTTCAGTTAGGTATTCGATTAAATGTTTGCTAGCCAAATGATGCCAATCCTGATTGAAAACATATGTCCACCTTTTCGAAATAAATTGGTTGAGGTCACTGAAATCACCGAGAATTTCGCCGTTGATGAATACCACAACTCGATTTTTGATAGTCCACAATCCGTTGCCCAATTTTCTCTGATGCTTTTTGATAAATTTGGTTCACTCTACGTCGAGCATTGGACGAAACATGGGAGTTTCGAACTCTTTCATAAAACTGTTGCATAATTTCGTAATGGCGTATTCACTTTTTTGAGAATCTGCGCTGGTCAGGTGACCGACAAGCATGAACTTCGTTGTTGAAGAATTTTCAACTTCTTGGAACTCCATTTGAATGTTTTGCGAAATTTCACTGGAAATGTCTGATTTTGATTGCCAATGTCAAAAATATATTATTTATACAGTCTTTATAGACGCTTGTGAAATATTTCTTAAACACCCTGTATAGAGTTAGGAGTTATAATAAATATTTTATAATGGTTTGGTGAACTATCATTTAATCGACTCAAAACTCGTTGTTAAAGTAATACTTTATTTGAAGTAGTGGAATCGAACAATTTTTACCCACTCATTTGTCAATTTTACCCATCCATACGTCAATTTTACCCACTCATACGTCAATTTTACCCACTTGTTCAAATCTTTTATAATAATTATAATGTTTTTGACAGAAATATGATATGTTGCATGATTGACAACACCAGAAATGTGTCAGTTTGTTAGGTACTTTGTCAATTTGTCATAATCTATGTAAAATTTTAGCACATTTTAATTTATGATTTTAGTAATTGTGATAAATAAAAAGTGGCTCAAGAATGAAATAGAATATTACACAGGACGGTAAAAAAGCTTTACCTGTTCGTGGAATTAATCCACTCGCTCATTCGTCGCTCGTGAATCAACATTTTCCACTCACAGGTAAAGCTTATTTTTACCGTCTTGTATAATAAATAACTATAAATTTATTCCGCCCCAAATTTTTACTAAAAAGTTCAGATAACTTCAAAGTATATACTAAGGCCCGGTTGTATCAAATAGAAATTCAGTTGAACTCTACTGGTACTTGATCTTTCCCATTTAAAACGCATTGATGTCAGAAGTCTGTCAAAGTGTATATCTTTTGACAGCAAGGCATTTAGGAAATATCAAGTACCAGATGAGTTCAACTGAACTTCTATTTGGTACAACCGGGCCTTAGTGAATACTTTGAAGTTATCTGAACTTTTTAGTAAAAATTTGGGGCAGAATAAATTTAAAATAAAATCTAAAGAGATCCTCTAATGGTTCATTACATTCATTATAAAATATCTATTATAAGTCCTAACTCTGTACAGGGTGTTTGAGAAATATTTCACAAGCGTCTATAATGGGCCCCACACACTACGTTCTTTCTCGTCGGTTTTCATCGCCGCGATGAAACACGACGATCTAAAACCGAAGTGTAGGGTGGAAAACCGTCGTGCTTCATCGTCGGTTTAAAATTCAGTCCGAGCTTGATTTTTGGCCTGACGGTTCAACAATTCGTTCCAAAACCATTGTATGTGGGTCCAACTGCCAAAAAATGGCGTAGTGTATGGTGAAAACAGGCTGACGATGAAACGCGACATTATTAATAGAGACGATGAAAACCGACGAAAAAAAACGTAGTGTGTGCCCATAAAGACTCTGTATAAATAATATATTTTTGACATTGGCAATTAAAATCAGACATTTCCCATGACATTTCGCGAAACATTCAAATGGACTTCCAAGAACTTGAAAATTCCCCAACAACGAAGTTCGTGCTTGTCGGTCACCTGACCAGCGAAGATTTCCAAAAAAGTAAATACGCCATTACGAAATTATGCAACAGTTTTCCAAAAGAGTTCGAAACTCCCATTTTTCGTCCAATGCTCGACGTAGAGTGGACCGAATTTATCAAAAAGCATCAGAGAAAATTGGGCAACGGATTGTGGACTATCAAAAATCGTGTTGTGGTATTCTTCAACGGCGAAATTCTCGGTGATTTCAGTGACCTCAACCAATTTATTTCGAAAAGATGGACATATGTTTTCAATCAGGATTGGTATCATTTGGCTAGCAAACATCTAATCGAATACCTTACTGAAAAAACGGAAAACTATAGACAGCTCGCATATCTTACCATTGCTATAAACAGTCAAGTAAAAGGATCTCTTTTATTTGAATTATACAATGATGTAGTTCCACTGGCATGCGAGAACTTCCTAAATCGTTGCAAAGATGAATACAATGGATATCTCGGAACTCAAGTTCACAGGATAGTGAAAAACTCCTGGATACAATGTGGAGGACATGATCTGAAACCCATTAGAATTCCTTGTGAAAATTATGTGGTACCACATAACCGAAGAGGAGTGCTATCTATGTGCAATAATGGCCCTCACAAAGGTAACAGTACTCAGTTTTTTATAACATTAGAAAGCACTCCCTGGATGAATTACAATTACGTTGCTTTTGGACAATTGCTTCAAGGAGAAGAAATTCTACAGGCCATCGAGGAAGTTCCGACCACTAACTTCCAAGTACCACAGAGTGATGTAAACATAATTAAATGTGGTGAATTCAGGACGACATTTCAGACATCGCCTGACGGTGGAATGCTTTATACTGCTGATGAAATTGGACAATGGAAAGAAATACAACAAGAGCTTGATATATTGGCATACCTCAAAACTAGTCACCAAGTAGTAATTGGAGAAGGTGGCCAAGGAAAAATCGATTATTTTGGACAAATGGATCAGCAATCAATGGATTCCATTGCGTCACTACGAAAAATTAAAACAGGACTTTGTAGTTTGAAAAGTGATATGAAATCTCATGCCCCATTTACGCATTTACCTGATGATTGTAGTGACGTAGGAGAGATGACTGATTATACAACTTGTGGTCCAGGAAATCCGTTGAGGAAATTTCCACAGTCATTTTACGATAACGATTCGTTTCCTAGAAGTTCTGATATCACTTTGTAATATATTTATCAAATTATTTTTTTTTTTGGCTAAATATTTTGTAGTAGTATAAGCTTAAGATTATGGATAATTTATGTACGCTACTGGGTCGACACAAAGCATAAGGGTCCCAAAAAGGGAGTGTTGGCATTTCGGCTTTAATCATCTCCGATGGAGATTTTCCAGGTTTGTGCGTTTTCCCGATAATAATGATTGGATGAGGTAGCGCACATAATAAACTAAACCTGGCTGGGGGAAACAGTTATCTCAATAGAAGAGAATATTTATTTTCGAGGTGGAAAAACCGAAAAATGCGCTGGAAACGTATCGACAATAAACTTGAAAATTTACAGTTATTTCAATTTTCAATTGCTGCATTTATTGGTGTTGGTGATTGCTAGTTCGCTCTCCACAGTTATAAATAAATAATGTTCGTGAGGTATTTTTTATTTTATCCAATGTTTTGCATCGACAATAACTTTTTTTTGGGAACTGCAACAACCAAATGATAGGGTATGATGAAATTTGTAAAGTACACAGTGATCTTAGTAGACATCTTGTAGTGAAAACAATACCTACTGTATACCTTCAATTTAAAATACTCTTTATTACAACTGATACTTAGTTATCTGAGAAGAGAGTCTTACAAAAGGGTAGGTATGTCTATGTCTTATGAGACTTCCGCCTCTTTCCTATCTTTTTAAAATCGACTTATACATCCATGTTCCTAATACCTAGGTACCTATTTAATTATGTTTGGAAAAATACATACCTTCATACCTACATCAAAGAACGACTATCAAGGATAGTTGGGAATTCTAGGGTTTATGGTGAACATATGTTTAGTTTTTTTACAATCAATTTCTTCGGTTCTGAAATGGCTAGTCGGTAGGTATTATATAACATAACAAATACAATTCACATCTTTGGGCTTTTAGTAGAACGTCCAGACAATACCGGGTGTTTTTCAAAACCCGCTTTTATTTTTTCAAATAAACAAATGAAATTTGGTGTGTTTATTTATGACCCGGATGTGCATTATTTGACGTATTAAATTTTTTACTATCACTTCCGGTTTGACCGTAAGTGACCCTAACTTCCTTATTTTAAATGAGACGCCAGGTAAATTTTTCCTCATTTCAATAGAAACCTACATTACGAGTACAAATACCTACATTACCTACATTACGAGTGACAAAATACATTTGTCACTTTTTGACATTTCACCTCCAAATTATTTAAATTTTTACTTTTTAATCTAGAGCGCCATGAATAAGTTAAAATGCTTAATTTTGCTCCTAGAAACATGGGAAAATTTGTTTTGAGCTTATTTTGAATTTTATATCCTCTAAAGGCTCATTTAAGTTAGTAGCAGCGCATTTTTGGGATTATATCAATTTTTTCAAATGGAAAGGGTATGGCTCATTAGCATATTTCGAGAGAGCATTTTCTAACAAACAATTCAGTACCACACAATCCCTAGTTTATTCAAATATTGAACTAAAATTTTCCAAAAATATTTAGAATGCTAGAAAAATTCTTAATTTGAGTGATGAACTAGCGTTTGTGTGGTACTAAATTGCTCGTTAGAAAACGCTCTTTTGGAACATGCTCATAAGCCATCCCCTCTCCATTTGAAAAAACTGATATAATTCTAAAAATGCGCTTCTACTATCTTTAAATGAGTCTGTAGAGGATATAAAATACAAAATAAGATCAAAACAAATTTTCCCATATTCCTAGGAGCAAAATTAAGCATTTTGACTTATTCATGGCGCTCTAGATTAAAAAGTAAAAATTTAAATAATTTGGAGGTGAAATGTCAAAAAGTGACAAATGTATTTTGTCACTCGTAATGTAGGTAATGTAGGTATTTGTACTCGTAATGTAGTTTTCTATTAAAATGAGGAAAAATATACCTAGCGTCTCATTTAGAATAAGAAAGTTAGGGTCACTTCCGGTCAAACCGGAAGTGATAGTAAAAAATTAAATACGTCAAATAATGCACATCTGGGTCATAAATAAACACACCAAATTTCATTTGTTTATCTGGAAAAATAAAAAAGTTATAGGGGTGAGCGGGTTTTGAAAAACACCCGGTATAATAAAATTACATTCTTTGGGGCGGAGCCATTATTTAGGATGGAATTAGAGAGTCATTATAGGGTAGGTACCTGAATTAAAATTCCTTCTAAAATATAATATGTAAATCCGATCAATGTCAATGTTACATCCTATGTGATTTGGTAGGGCATAACACTATAATCTGTTCAAGAACGTGTAGGTAGGGTGTTTTTTTATATATTGACACCCCATTTACAGCCTTTACCTTTACAGGTAAAAGAAAGGTCTAAATACAAAAGTTGTACACTTGGCCAAGGCCAATCATTAAGGTGGTACGCACTTTCCTATTGTCCTATTGTGCTGTATTGTGTAAATCGACCTCTTTTATCACCTCAACAATGACAAAAACAGTCAAGTCAGTGTCATATTTGAACCAATCATAACATAAAAACATGTTTCACTTTTGTTCAGCTTTGACGTTGACAAAAACTATCTCAAATTTAATCCATGATCAAAAATTCCGGTTAAATTTAATCTCCGGTTAGATTCAAAGTTGGTGTCAAATCATAGTTTATGAAAATCTAAGATAAAAGAATGTATAAGATCGGGTTTCCTCTAAAATTAACCGTTTAGATTTCACAGCCTGTCAAAACCACTGATCTCAAAAATAAATGGATAAACAAAGAACGCTTCTAATGCTGCTAATTTACGAGGTCATAATGTAAACAACTAAGACAGCCGTGAGCGTACGCAGTAGATACATTTACTGTGCGTGCGCAAAATATAGCCAATGAAAATGAAGGAATTTCAAAATTTAGAACAGTCAGTATTCAACCGTCAATATTTCCAAAACAGTTGAACTTAGGTGAATATATCACATGAAATATGCTCAGAATTTTACGTAGAATCCAAATATGCAATCACATACAGGGTGTCTCATTTAAAATAAGCGTCTAGTATGCCACCATCTTGAAAATATTTTAGCTGGGTTGCCCCCATTGACATTAGTATACTGTCAAATTTTCAAAAAAAAAAATCTGCGTATACAGATTTTCATATATAGATCGATTTGGTTCCCGGTGGGACAACCTGTATAAAAGCGCTGAATAAAACGTTGTTACAGGCACTTTGTCTTTATAACATTTAAGAAAAAAAAATCATATGATCTGATTTATATGTAATATAACTCATTTTTGCCTAAGAAAGGTATAACTATATTTTTCAACTTGCGACAAATTGAACCTGTTGAAAGGAAAATAGCTATTTTCTACGAGCGTGCGGGAAATGACTCTTCCCGCACGATTTGCTGTGCAGGAAGACTTTTTTCCCGCACCAGTGCGGGAAGAGTTTGAAATAATCATTGTGACATGGAATTGTTTGTATTGTTGATACACCTTTACCTTTAATACCTTTACCTTTTTTTTATAAATACCTTTCAATACATTTTTAATTCTACTTCCTGCACAATCGCATTTTATTTAAATTAAACTTCTCGTAACATCAGCTTTATTATGCTCGTAGAAAAAATATAGTTCCTAACTCTTGCGGGACGAAATTTCTCTTCCCGCACTCGTTAGGAAAATAGCTATAGATATTGTTTTGCATCTTGTTTAATGAAAAAATCATCTCAAAAAATTATGTTTAACAAAACGGAATAAACATTGGATAAACTATCGTTCAAATATTGTCAAATTCACTTAACAGTTTACCAGGAATAAGAAAAAAATCATATAGACGTACTGGCATTAGTTAAATTTCAAAACAACCCTCGTAGATTCGAAAGAATATTTAATAAACGAACGATTTCACGCGGATCCTCCGGGCCTGCTCCAAGTTAAAGAGATATAGTGCATCCAGCAAAAATTTGCCTCGCAGTAGGCATACCTACCGGAGAATAATATTACGCTGTGTTGGATAAATTTTTTTGAGAAAATTCATTTATTGAATTTAGAAAAAAAAAACAAGCGTACGAAAGATGAAATTTTTTATTGATCTAAATAAATAGATAATAGAAAATCTTCGAGGAAGATCTTCTCTGGTAATTATTCAAGTGCTAAAATGAGGCAAAATATTAATCAGAGGTCTAACAAAAATAAAGAAAACTGTAACAAATAAAAAAATTATTTTATAACATCTCACAAACTCCTAAACTAATGGCACATCCTAGGGAATGCTACAAATCTTATTACTGACTAAAAGTAGAAACCAATAAATAAATCAATCAAATAAAAATGTGGATTAATTCATCTCAATATCTGTCAAAAAAAGTATTATGACGTCACTATTAAATTTACCACTGTGACTTCAAAAATCCTCGAACCAACTATGTCTTAATAATCGGCACCGCACCAACAACACACGCACACTTTGCGATCGCCGGCCCGTGAGTCACCCTTTCGTTCCCTCGCCCCCGGCCACCCCCTATAAATCGGGGGGCGGCAGACACGAGGGGTGTTTTGTCCCTCATTGGCAAAGTATAATCACTTGTGTACAGCTTATAGTGTAGAGAACGACGGGTTTTTAGTGGTGGTTTTTTAAAAAATCTCATTGGAAAACTTAAAGAAACATTGAAATCGGATCGAGCAAAGTGCGCGAAAATTTGCCTGTGGAAAGTGAAAAGTTTCGAGTGTTGTGCAAGGTCGTTAAAAGTGGGGGAAAATTACGCGGGTTGTTTTTGTCTGGAAGTGCTGGAAACCTAGTTGTTTACGTCAGGATTTAGTGCAGAAGTGTTTTTCTTTTGGTATATTATTTAACTTTTCGAGGGTTTTATTTGTTGTTTACTTTAGCTTGGTTACAACACTCGGTCGTTACTGCAAAGTAGAGCAATTGAGGGCACGATATAAAACAATTCTTTGACTTTTTATTATCATTCTTAGATTTTTCATTTAAAAATTTTTTTCACAAGAGTTATGGAAAAATATATTGAGTAAGCAAATCAATTTTATCAGGAAAAAAAA